TCGTATTTTTAAGGAGTTGTCGCATTAATTAGGCGTTCAGAGCACTTTATAATAGCGATCAGCGTCATTCCAGTACATACAGGGGTCATTTCAGGTAGGTGAAATATTCATTTGCCATAAAAACTCATAATCGACGCATAGGTTAGAATTAGTTAAGAATTGTTGTAAACTAGCTAGGGAGTGAGATCACTTATATCCTTCCTGATATTACAGAATATTTCAGGTATGTGATCAAGTAGATCTAATTTCATCCTGAGTTGCTTTACTCGCGACTGGATGTTGTTTATCCAGTCGGGGTGTCATTTCTTGTATGTTTAAGTTCGCCTGAATTCATCTCCACGTTTTCTTCTTTTACATGTTGTTTATTTTCAGCCATATGTCTTTATATGAGTGTGGAATTAGACGTAAATCGTCTGCGAGTTCCAGATCTATTAATGTCTTCTTGTCAGTCAAACTTTTATCTATGTATTTATCCACTCAGTCTGCTATGAGTAATCTCCTGCCTTAACATCCTAGTCTACTCTGTTGGTTTCCAGGTACCTACAGACTAGTACTACTTCCAATTCTTATTCATCTCTCCTGAGGCGTCTGCACGGATATATTTCACCCAGCTTTCAGAAAGTTACGGTGTTCTTCCTCATGGGTCTACACGATGATTTCGCTTCCGTTTTTTCTGAAAACTACCTAGGAAAATGTCACCTGTAGATTTGTCTTGAATTGTGGTTTACTTCAGATTTCATTGTTTGCTTTCACCCTTACATCGTAGCTTCCTGGCACTTTATGGTATTCTGAATCTTCATCTACGCCTCTTCTGAATCTTGTAATCAGCCAGCTGTGTCTCCACTCTCCAGAGTCTGCCAAGAAGTCTGCCTGACTCTGAATGTATCCATTTGGCGAAATCCGTGCCATCTTCCACACATCCTTGTCATTTCACACCCTGCCTTGAATCAACGAATAACGAAGGGTGCACAGGTATGCAAAGCATTCAGCTTTCGCTTTCACCTGATGGAGCAGCTCACGTCTGATGATGGGTATAGTTCTCATGTTGTTATCTCCAAGTTTGACATTGTTTTCATGCATCAGGAATTTCATGTCACCATCCGGGTTATCTTCTATCACTGCGTACAGTCATCTGCGAAAGTTCTTTATTTCTGGGTCAACATTATTTGTGGTGTAGAATTGTTTCATTGTATCTTCATTGCCTTGAGAGTTGAATCTTACAGTCACTTTTCGCGAGAGGTTTATTTCTCTCTTCATGAAGATATTAGATGTTGTCGGTAAGGTCATAATGGCCATACCCTCAGTCTGCAAGTCAGTATCGTTTCAGTAAACGGGATGGATTGATGAGACTTCAGAGAAAGATTTGTAATGCTGAATTCCGTTTCATTTGCTCTCACAGACTCCCAATAATGCTTTACCATATCTTTTAATTTCTTACCAGTCTCAATCATCGTCTGTATGCCTACTTTTGCCTTCATCGAGAGAAGACAAAATGGTCACCTGCATTCCAGCTGGTTTCTATCAGCCGGCGTCACCTATCCACAAATCGAGGTGTGAACTTGGTTGCAGAGAGGAATGCATTTATTTTTTGTTCACTTTATAGTATCAACAGAGATAGTGTTGTTATTCACAGGATGGAGTTGTCACAAACAACCTGTTTTCATATCCGGACTAAGAACTGCTCAGTTAACTGGACTGGAGTATCAACGGCGTCTAGAACAGTTCGCTTTAGTTGCTGACAGATCTTGTGGAGAAAACCACTGGCAAAAGCCACATTTCACGGTCTATGTCTCTAAATCTTGACCCACTTTGGACGAGACGACTTATTATGAACCTAATATTCTCCTCTAAGTTTTTACACAAACTATCAGTCTCAGACAGTAAGGGCGTACCATTCTCACCACAAAGCCTTTACGATCTGTGTAACCAAACATACACAAAGACGATAAAAGCCTTTAAATCATCACTCCGAGGAAACGTTTTCACAGTCATGTTTTCTGAAATATGGGTCGATTTTCTTTCTAGAAATCAGAACCTTCAAGTCAATTATAAGTTTTAGGGGCTTGGTTTTATTTTTCTGGTCACGTAAACAGACCATTTATATCCAGGACGAATCAGTTATTAGGTCCCTATAGCATCTAAACAACGCTTGAATCTTCACTAAATCTAATCACTCTGCATAAACGATAAGGAGACTAGTTGCATAGATGCATAGGAAGTCTAAGACAGTATCAAGACATATATATTTACTAGACGTCAATGTTCAATGAATATAAACATGCATGCATACTGACGATGAAGTTTTGTTTGTGTCCACAAACGTTTCTTTTTCTGGTGTTTTGCTGCTTGTCTCTTCTCCTCTATTTGCTTTGTAGTGGAAGTTGCACAGACCTACAGAAAAATTGAAGTTAGACAGGACTTGAAGCCGATCACGTGTATATACCACGACTTCCTTCAAGTTATTGGCTCCTAATAACTCGACATCCTTGAAAACGCCAGCGGCATTATTTAGTACGCAGAATAACATTCTATACGAGTAGCGGCCGTGACCTTGATTGAACATGCAACTGGTTTACAAATAGTTTTCCACATCTCTATGAACCTAAGCGTACAGAACACTATGCAGCTACAAATGGTGGTTATTGCTGTCTTTGATGCAGTAAAACAAATCTGCCTTGCTATGGCTGATATTCGTCTGCATGTGGTACAATTCCCTTCTTATGCTACCCTACGATGACAATGCTGAGAAAGTGATACAAATATGTTACTTAATTTTAATTGTTACACCAGCGGACTGTTAATCAAATATAAGATTCGATGTCGTACACAGCAAAGTATTGATTTCAAGCTTAATTTTTTCCCACGTATTTGCGATTCATCTGAGACAGACTAGAGTATGTTTGTTAGTGCGAAGACAGTATTCCCACGTTTCTTAATGTTCTCCATTGAATGACTAGGTATCAGACTGTACCTAAACTCTAAGGTCATAAAGAGCAGCAACCATGTATATTCACCACAAATCAAATTTATGTAACTTAAATAATACTTATCCATATCCTTACAACTGGTATGTTCCTACACAAATTAGGGATGTCACATTCAAATGGATAGTTTTTGATGCCTTAATGAACTCACTGTTATGTACGGAAAGTAGCTTTTGTGAAATTTGTGACCACGAAAATTTCACAAGTGTGGTTGAAGAATTTATGGATCAGAATTCTAATTAGCAGACAACTGGAAAAACTATCAGAATGCAACAAAGTGTTCAGTAACTTTTTGCTTGGTTGTTCTGGTGCTGATAATCCTCCCAAATGCTTTTGTTTCAATAGTCATGAAAAAGACGTCACCAGATGAATTTTAATTTGAGACTTTTCACAGTCTCTGTTTTCTTACTGCCAGAGGAAGCGATGAGATTCCGCCAGCCGTATTCCGTGGAAATGAAGTATATTCTTTGTATACTAGCTGGAAATCACTTTGAGGAACAAAGCAAAATTCGTTAGTAAAATCAAAACAAACTCAAAAAACTACTCACATTAAATCACGGTGAAGGATACACTGGTATGTACCAACCTGACAGACTTTGCACACGTTAAATTCAACGCTGAAGTCTTTGGTATGCGATTCCCATCTCACAAGGCGTTAATTACTATAAGGTTTGCTAACTTTTAGCGCCTGTCATTTTACACCAACACTTATCACTGATTTACAGAAGTTTTAGATACTCTGGTGAAGCTGACTAGCAATCTGCGTTCTGCAGTATAAAATGGCAGTCATTTATCTGATATGATGATGATGTTATCAAATATTTATCCGAACAGTGAACGTCTTTTCGACACCATGGCTAGGCAAATGTATAACAATTTTTTATTCATTCAAACAGTCGATGATATCGTACACGCGTTCTCGCCTCCGAAATCGGCTGCTTTTAATTCAAAAATGAAAATATCATCATCGTCATGGTACCATTGGAAAAGATGACACGTGTTTATGTAGAAATGCGACAATATGAGATAGAGACTTGCACACCAAGAGCTGACTGAAAAACATGTTGAAACATTATTCCAAATAAGCTCAGAGAAACCAGACAACATGAAAACAAACCATTTCATCCATTCCATATTTCTTATAGTCTCAGACAACATTGTCAATGCCTTAGTACTAACAGCGAACAATGACAACCTGGGAGATTCACCGTGTAGCATAGGTGAAATACATTCGATTGAACGTAGTTGTCCAGAATGCTTCATTCTGATTGAGGCACTCAAAGTGTCCAACAAACCTCTCCTCATGTGACGTTATGGCGTATTAAAGATGATTTTAGCCATAATATTATGGGACATCCACGTTTTCACGTTCTTCGCTATGTTAACGTTGTACGCGGTCAAGGATGAACAACGTTGTACTGAGAAGCACAAGTGAAAACTCAAAAAGATGTGTTGTTAATGAAATCAAACTTCGAAAAACGCGGAAACGAACGAAAAGTGTATAATCGCGTAAAAATGCATATGTAACAAAGAAAATCAATGTTCAATAATACAATGGCAAATATTCCGCAAGCATAAGCAAACTTAGTTTCTGTAAGCGCATAACATGCGTGCATGAATTATTTTTATAAGTATGCAGTTAGGCTTAGTAGAGGAGTGCTACAATGTCAACTACACTCCCATCAGCATGAGTACAATAAAAGTTGTGATTAAAGACGGTTGTGATGAGTCAGAGAATAAATTGTGGCCAAGTGAATACATGGATGAATCACGTGAGTTCACTTCAACTCTCACTAATCTGCATACATAATCAACCATCTAACCACTAAAGACAAAATCAGCATACTCGATGGGAAGATTGAAATTGAATGTACCGAAGTTTGGGGGGCACTGAATGCATTGCAGAGTATCATACAATTGGTGCATAGAAGTAAATCGGGGTCTGTAAGTCAAATTTGACTGTACTGATAACCTCATGATCATTAACACCTTGTTCATTCATTCAAATAGCTTGTAATGTACGAACGCATTATCGAGGATGCACCACTATTCATTCACAGAGGATTTCTCGTTGACACTGCCAAACATTATATCAGTGTTGATGAGATTGTGATGTTCATTGTGAGTTTCTCCTTCTCTCCTATTTCAAATTCACACTGTTTCAGGATGCAATGGCGGTTGTGAAAATGAATGTATTTCATTGGCATATGACGGATGACAGTTCATTCCCCTATGTGTCATCCACATATCTGCGACTTTCACTAAAAGTGGTCTGTCTTATTTCTTCGAATCACTTCTCTCTCCGTCTCTACAGGGTGCCTGTCATCCATGCAAGTTAATTAATGAGAATGCTGACTTGGTTCGCATGATACAGTACGCTGGTCTTCATGGGATTCCTGTGGTGGTGGAATTCAATACTCCAAGTGAGTAGGAAATTAGGCACTCTGTGATTTTGAGATCATTATTGTTTTGGTATTTGCCACAACATGGGTGAATCGTGTTTCAAGTCATGTACTAGGGAGTGACTTCCTCCTGATTAAACATGAGCTTTTTCGAATGACGCCATATTTTAGAAATTGGATGCATTTAGTATAATTGTTTTAGTTGTCGTCAGGCTTTAACTCACAATCAGACTAGAAGATCAAATGTCAATTAAAATCGAGTCACTCTGTGTGCTACTGATTTCAAGATCAAGAAGGTGGTGATTAAAGCCATTATCCAAAAATAAGTATGGAGTGCGACACGACAGATGAACAGGGTATTGAAACGGGTTTATTAAATCCTCCAAATCAGACTTGAGATACTCGAATGTCTAAAAACGTTTTCCTGGGAAATGACATCACTATTTCCGGAAACACTTATCCACTTGGGTTTCAACAACGTTTCGTATTCTTGCTGGTGCGATTTCTGCTTGTCCACTATGTTATGAACTTTTATAGTAACATGAGTCAGTCATCAAATAGAGCTTCCAGGTATTCATGGTTTTTGTGTGGATCGATTTTCTTCCTGTCATGAAATAGTCAGTTGATTTCTTTGAAGACTGTTAATTCCAATGGAGCAACAAATTTTAATTGCAACTGAGTGATTGTCTGACATGTTGCATGCAGTTTTGCGGGACATCGACAATGAAGTTGAACATGTGCACGAATCATTCTTAGAACCTATAGTCAGAGATGTACTGGAAATGTTCCTTCAGGTAGTCTGTATTAGAGCGAAATGCAACTGCAGTGGTTAGGTATCTGGGAGTGGACAGAAGTAAAGTAACTGTTTGCTCTGAAATAGTTAACGAGTACTTGTGTAATCTGGAACGTTGAATTTGAACAGACGAAATACAAATGGGCTGTATGTAACCGGCCAACTCATAATACGACAAAATGAACATTCAAAGGGTAATTACAATACTGAATAATGAATCAAGGCACTACAATAGTGATATCATAGACAACGCGAATAACGCAGGTTTACTGTATTCGGAATTCTCCGGGGACCTCATTTAAGAATGAACGTGTATTTATACAATAATTACTTCGGCAGAAGAAATTTTCACTCGTCAGTATAACACGCGAAGATGAAAGTGTATCTCTGATAAATTTTACAACTTGGAGGAGTTCACCTACTGATAATTTCAACATTTTTGAGATGAGATTTAATCAAAGTAGATTTGATGGTGCATCTAGTCAATAAAAGACGTAGATGTAGCGAGTATAATCGAATCAAATAACAAGAATATGAAAATATTCTGGATGAAATTTCCTAAATGGAATTTAGACAAAGATGGATTCAACACGCGGATAATTTCATTGACAGTAAAAACAACGTCATGAATCATGGATGAAAACAGACGGGGTGATGAAAGTCAGTCATGAATCATTAGCCGTCAATTTACAATGAAGTTGGAATAGTTAATATTGACAGATGATACGGACAGTGTGTGAGTAATGTCTACCTGCTGAGTGAATGACAATATTATGTGAAGGAAAATAACTTGTGTACACAAATAAACAGTTTGAATGAATATTGCTTATAGTTCAGATGCCACCAATTGAAATAGGGCTTCGATGCTAGTACACACTCTGAACAGATCTAGCGTTTCTTACAGGTTTCTGTAGTGTGAACAGTTAGGCTGAATAAGTGAAGGTAGTTGAACACAACTTGCGAAGAGTTAGTCCTTGCTTCCTAGAGTAATGTCGACGAATTCAAGTGTAATTCAGTCAACAATCACAATGCTTTATTCATTTGTTCTGTTTTGATAACTTTCTTATTTTCATCTATCCGGGTGGAGTTTGTTAGCTACAGTGTGACGTGTGATAGTATTTGTGGTCAGCGCATAAGTCATTCATATGTAGCTCCAATATTTGTATGTAGTTGGTCATGTCAAGCGTAACCTTATTATCTGGAGGGAAAAAGTCACTCGTTATTAGGTAGCATGGCAGGAAGCCCAGTCTTAATTTATCTGTGTAAACGTTCAGTCATATCTTTGAAAATAGGAAGACATGAATTGGCTGCGTTATATTTAGTCCCTTAAAATTCAGTGGTCTTCCGAAATAGCTAACTCTTTGGCTGTTTAGCTCCACAAGCGGTAGTGATATAAGGAACACCGGTGTTCGGTGTCGAACTTTCTACAACGGAATTAATGACTGATTCGGCTGGTACATCCTCTATTGGAACTAGTGCTGTCGGACAAGTAAACTTGATGATGCATATAATTATGTTTCAGAATACGTTGTCAGTGTAGGCATATGAGTAAAGGCGACAGAGTATTATTATTATATTATTGTTCCCTTGGGTTCCTAATGGAACAAACGGCTTCAACTGCACGTCTCCACTTGCTCCTGTCCTCTGCTGTACTTTTCACCTGCATCCACATTAGTCCATACTGCTTCATCTCCTCTTCACACGATCTCCTCCATGTCACCCTTGGACGACCCACTCGCCGCTTCCCTTTCGGGTTCCACTCGAAGGCCTGACGCGCGATATCACCCAGCGGCCTCCTCATCGAGTGTCCAATCCATCTCCACTTTCCCCTGCATATTTGTTGAGGGATTGGTTCTTGTTTTGTTTGGTCCCATAGTTTCTTGTTAGTGATTCTTTCCGGTCATCTGATCTTCAGTATAGAAAGAAGACAGTTGTTGATAAAGGTCTGCAACAGGCTGTTGGAAATATTTTTTGTGACCCGCCAAGTTTCTGATCCATACGTATAGAAGAACTGACTGACTTGACGCTTGTATTGAAAATCTGGATTTTGTTGTTGATGGTGAGTGACGAAGATTTCCAGATTGGTTTCAGGGGGATGAATGTGTTTCTCGCCTTCCCGATTCTCGATTTGACATCCTCGTCCGCTCCACCTGCCTGTAGTTGAGACAATGCTCCCCAGATAAGTGAAAGAAGTAACCTCTTTGAAATCCCCCTCGTTGATGGTGATTGGCACTGGATGTTGCTGCTGCTGTTGTTGTTGTTGGTTGGTTATTTTCATAACCTCCATCTTGTCTCTGTTCACCTGGAGTCCTGTTTTTGCTGCTTCTTCGACTAGTTTGTCGATTTTCGCTTGTAAGTCTTCGATTTTGTGTGACATCAAACATAAGTCATCTGCGAAATCCAGGTCTTCTAGGTTCTTCACGTCGGTCCAGGATATCCCTGTCTTCTCATTTCCCACTGTCTGAGGCATAATCCAGTCCACCACAATTAGGAATATCATTGGTGATAATAAGCACCCTTGTCTGACTTCTGTGTTTACTCCAAACGCCTCGCTGAATTTTCCGTTGTGGATCACTTGACATGTGCCGTTGTCGTACAGTTGTTGGATAAGGTTGATGAATATTTGGGGTACGCCGTAGTACTCGAGTAGTTTCCAAATTACTTCGCGGTCAACGCTGTCGAAGGCCTTCTCAAAGTCTATGAAGTTGAGGTAGAGATTTGATTGCCATTCCATGCTTTGTTCGATGATGATGCGTAGAGTTGCAATTTGGTCAGAACATGATTTGCCTTTCCTGAATCCAGCTTGTTCTGATCGGAGTTCTGTATCCAGTGCGTCCTTTATCCTCTCCAGGATGATGCGACTCAGGATTTTACTTGGCGCCGACAGGAGCATGATTCCTCTCCAGTTCTTGCTGAGTCCCAGGTCGCCCTTCTTTGGTAGTTTCACGAGGTAACCTTTCCTCCAGTCAGTAGGCACCTTTCCCTCCTTCCAGAATTTTTGCAATAATGGAGTCAGCATATCTGTTGTCGTCTCTGGGTCCGCTTTCAGTGCTTCAGGGGGTATTCCATCTGGTCCAGCTGCTTTTCCAGCTTTCAGAAGCTTGATTGCATCCAAGACTTCAGCTTTCGTTGGAGGATTGGTGTCAACTTGCAGTTGTGTACGTGCTGTTGTTGGTATTACTGGACGGGTTGCAGGTGGTGGTCGGTTCAGGAGTCCTTTGAAGTGGTCCGCCCATTGTTTAATCTGTCTTTCTTCTTTGGTAATTGGGTTCCCTTGGCTGTCTTTTATAGGTTTCACTTGTGTTGATCTCTTCCTGGATAGAGACTTGGTTATCTGATATAATGTCCTCAGGTCCCTTTTGCGTGCTGCCTTTCAGCTTCAGTGGCCAGGTTGTCGTAGAATTGTCTTTTGTCCTTCCTGGCACTCTTCTTCACTTCTTTGTCCAGTGCTGTGTAAGTTGAGCTCAGCGTCTCTTTCTCTTGTCCGTCTTTGCATTGAATCATTTTCTCCCTCACCGTTCTCCTCTCCTCTATTAGCTTCCAAGTGTCCGTTGAGAGCCATTTCTTGTCTTGTCTGTTCTTTCTTCCTAAAACCGTTGAACACGTTTCGTTAAAAATCACCTTCAGAGAGTTCCAATGGTCTTCCACGGATGATTCCTCAGTGATGTAACGTAGTGTTTCCTACTTTGCTCTGACAGTTGCAGTGAAAATGTCCTTTGTGATTGTGTCCTTCAGTTTTTGCGTGTTGAACTTGCATTGTGCCCTATCACCAGCTATCCTTGAGGTTTTTAGCTTCACCTTGAAAGTTCCTTGTACTAGATAGTAGTCTGATAGTAGTCTGCTCCTCTCCTCGACCCTGTGTCCAGCAGACCCCGTCTCCACTTCCTTGAGATTGAAATGAAGTCTATCTGGTTTTTGGTGTGTCC